CCTGCCACGAAATGAAAATTAGGAATGACGGCGCCTATAATTGAAATGTGTGCCTTATTCACGTTGGGTTTTTTAAGGGTAGGTGTGTTTCTAAACTCGGTAAAGGTATTTCGGAGGTAATAACTTCTGGGCTTTCTTAATTCAGACGACAATTTCTAACTACTGTAAACCTCGTGACGTGGAAAAAAAAGGTAGTAATATGGTATCAACTTTTTTTCCTCAAATATAGCGCCGTAGAAGGCTCGATTAAGCCAATATTCAAAACATAAAGTTTAAATAATAAATAGAAGAGCCTTTGAGAAGACCAGAAACTTTGGAAAATGCGCGTTTTTCGTTCCGTTATCGCCGAAGCTGTAGTTTTTGATCAGGACCGGAAAAAAATAAAATGGCTATTCTTTGTTGCATATGTGGAAAACACCAAACTTGGAAAATACACACGTTGTCTAAATGCAAAATAGAGGAGCAGCTGCAGAAGCAAGTCACAAGAAATTCAACGAATGACAGTAAAGTTTGAACCACAGCGTACGCAGTCAGCCGGTATAGCTACAAAACCTGCTTCAGCTTTCTAACTTTCTAAGGCAATAAATTTAGTAGTTAAACACCTCTAAACTGTTATAACTTTCTAACTTCTCTAACTGATTTCAACTGGCAGTTTGATTAAATGAAAAAATACGCATAGAATTGGCTGACGACAAGCAGAAAAGCATCAAAGAATCTACACTAATTTTTAGGTGCGCCGTCACTTATTTATACAGCGCAGGCAACTACTAAAGAACTTTACTGCTACAGCACCGTCCGTTTTCACGAGTGACTCGCTAGGGGAAAGGTGCTTAGAGAGTAGTTAAAAAATGATCTTTGGCGAAGCGGTTCAGATGGGAGAGCGGCTTGCTTCATTTCACCAGTTTGAACAAACCTTAATAATTTTCGGGAACACCAGTAGATTATAACTTTCAACAAGGGGTTCAAGGCGGAACAGGCCCACAGTTTCCTCAAAGGAGAAAGGAAGCCACGCCATGTGACAAAAAGAAAGCTTTGAATATTTTTTTGCTATAACTGAAAGTGACTGAAAGAGATTAATCGGAAGCGTAGTCCTCTTTCCTTCTTCTCTTCCCATATTTCAAGATCAAGTGAATTGTGACGTTCGCACAAAAATTTATGATTTATATTAGGCAGTTCTGATGTTATACACGACAAAAGAAGTAAAGTTACTCATACTCCAATGAAATTGTCAGCTACTAACAGATACTTCACTTAACGTTAATTCTCAAACCGTTAAGTCGACATCTAACTGACTAATCGTTACCCAAAAAAACCTCAGCTTGACCAGCAAATTTTTGACAGATCTTTCATAGAAATGAAAACATGATATCAACCAAGAAAGGTCAGCCTACTAACTCTTCAAAGAACCTAAATCTTTCAGGGGATCGGTATTGTAGTGCCAAACACTACTTTTTGGTTCTTCACTAATAACGATAAAAGCAATAATCATGAACAATTTTTCAGGGTTAAAAAAGGGAAGGTTTATTAGGGAGCGGCCGTTTGAAGCAAGGTTTAGGTTCCAACGGGCCTAAAATAATGCCTTGCTCAGGCAAGCGCAACCTTACGACAGGCTATCTGAGGATACTTTATGGACTCTACAACCATTGGAAATAAAAAGGTGCTGCTGAGAGAATAAAAGGAGAAGAACACAGTCATGCCAAGTCATGCCAACTGGAATGAAAAAAATGTGCAAAACAAGAATAAGAAACCGAGGCCTGGAAGCCGCAGTTGGCAGCTGCAAATATCCCGTATGCTTTTTACGTCGAACGTTCCCTATTAAAGTTGTACTTTACTTTAATAATATTAGCAAGTTATTATTCTGCAGATTTATGAAAAGCAGTCTTTATTCCAGCCCTTTCTAATTTTCGTATTTTATTCTGTCATAATTATGTAGCCAGTATTCATTTTGGTGTCGCAAAGAAGTCTACGAACTCACTGCTTTACCTGGGTAACTATTAAACTGAGGCTCTTCTCAAACATTTCTGTGTTTCTGGAGAACTACAGCACATAATTTCAAGGAAAAACAAGTCAACCTAACGAAAACTTTAACGAGTACAAAACAGAGACAATTCTAAGAACTTAGGAACCACAACATACAAGAACTAGAAAGGGCTGAAATAAAGACTACCTTTTATAACTCTACAGAATAATAATTTGTTAATATTATCAAAGTAGAACACTGACAGGGAAAATTCAACCTAAGAAGCATACGGGATCTTTGTAGCTATCAGCTGCGGCTTTCAGAAGCGGCTCCAGATAATTTCGCCGCTGTAAAATACATAGGACTAGTGATTAAAAAAGTGGATTTTTTTTCAGTTTCACACTCCTTCCTGGCTCATAACTCTCAATATTGAAAACTTGCCGTCTCCAAATTCTGATATTTTGTAGGGCAAAAAACCCTACGCAAAATATATCTTTTTTTAAAAAATTTATAGACACGTTTTTTTTCTATGTTTGTTTGAAATTTTATTGTTCTTGTATCTTTGTGTTTTTTTATCAGAATTAAACTAATCGACACGCATTTAAAAGTTATAAGAAATAAGTCGGATTAAAAATCGTTAGACTTTGTTAAGGGGCTAAATTACAATTCTCCAATTCTCCAGCAGCCTGGTAAATTTTGCAAATTCA